CTCAGAACTTCTCTCTCAGGAACCAACTCTAGGCTGTGTTCGCCCACATTGGTTACTTGTAGCAGCCAAGAGCACATGTTCCCAGACCAAGAGAGGAGGTGGTTGTCCCAGTCATGTCTTCTCCTCTCAAACGAGTCATGGTCAGGGACTGAAAAGCCACAAGAGAGAAAAGAGAGCCTAGAAGACCAAGCTATGTCCCCTTTATCACTTGGGCCACAAGAATGAGCGGCACCTGAAAAACAAGAGGAACGGGTCCAAGTTAGAACCGAAATTATTTTTAGGCATAAAAATGCCTCCATCTTCATGCTGACATATTCAGGTTGAAGGGTAAGAACATCTGGCATGTGAGAGAGCAGGGGACCCACTCTATCAGTCCCGGGGTTGTCTGGATTAGGCAAGGCAAGACCTACTGACCCAGGCCTAGCATCCAGGACAGAGAAATTAGAAGGCAGGTGCAGCAGGGAGCTCGGACAGCCAGCTCGTCATCTGGCAGTAGTGCCTCTGTTCTGGGCCAGGACAACAGCCTCGATTGTCCCTCCTCCCAGTGACTATGCTGCTCCCAGAGAAAAGAAAGCCAGGAGGCCTCCTGGACCGAGCCTCTGAATGAAGAATGCTGCTCTTTCTCTGCAGCTCCGGAGCCCAGCATCGGGGAATCAACTGCTCCAAACTGGCAGCTTCCTCAGAGGCCTGGACAGCCTCTCCTGTGGTCACATGGTCCAAGACACTCCGTTCTTTGTCACAGGCACTTGGCCAGGTGGGCAACAAAGGTCCTTCAGGTGCCCTGGATCTGGAGAAAGTGATGAAATACTGGTTCTCATCTGTGCATTCAGCATTTGTACCTCCCCTGGCCTCCCAGTCACCCTGTGACCCCAGGCTTGACTGTCATTCACAGTAGAAACAAAGACCCTATCCAATTCAGGGCACAGGGGACTCAGAAAACTCCTTCAGGGTTTTGCCTCATGCGGCTAACGTCAGAGATGTTTTATAAAAACAAGATTGGAGGTCACATTGCTCCTTGGATAAAAGGAATTTTACTTCAAAGAAATCTACATAGTAAACAAAACTAGGGAAACTGCCAGGACATCACCAGGCAGCGGACGAGCCACCGTAATGTTGCCTAGTGCTTCCCGAACGGCCAGCCACATCCTTTACACTATTAGGAATCCAGAGACCTGGCCACCAGGCCTGTAGTTGTCCTGCTAAGAAAAGATGGTGACTGAATCTAGCTCAAGCTGAGCCTAATTTCTTGCCAGCTCTGCTCTCTGTGGCATTAAGAATTCCCTGCCTCTTGGCACTTACGAAGGAGCAGTTAGCTGGGAAAGGAGAAATGGGAGTCCAAGTCTGGAATCAGGCTGCAGGTTTGATTCCCAGCTCCATTACTCACCTGCTGTATGACACCGGGCAAGCAGTTTTATCTCTGTGCCTCCGTTTCTTCATCTGAGAAATGGGTGTAGCTTGGTTCCCATTTCAGAGAGTTCTCATGCAGGTCAAATACAGGCCCATGGGGAGTGGGAGTGGGGACTTAGAGCACACGATGTCCTAAGTAGGAGCACCACCAGCACTTGCGGTCTTTAGTATCCTTATTCACCTTCATAGAAAGTCATTCCAGTGAGTCCTCCCCCATCACCCATTTGGCCCTCATGAAAGGAGGTTGACAAATAGGTTCTCAAGGGGGCAGAAGGTGGTACTTTCCTGGAGCCATTGAAATACCTTTCCTTCTCAGCTATCATTCTCCTAGACTGGACAGCAGAGTTGGGGCTGGGGTCACGCAGAATCGAGCAGGGTACCACTTCTCCCCAACTGGAGGTTGGAGTGATGGAGAGGTTCCACATGAGCCGTGGGCAAGCTCCTGTCCAGACCCAGAGCCGTCTAAGGCACCGCACCGCCCACCACATTTTCCATCAAGAACTTAAACCATCTATCCCTGCCCTCGCCAAGCCCCAGGTCTATGCTCAGTGCTGTCACTGCCAAGGAGTCATCTGGGACCATTTCTGGTCATCCAGAAGTCACAGTTATGGCCACCCAAGTGCTAAGTAGCAACTGAAGCCAAGTAGAAGGTGAGGAATCTCCATTCTGTCAACCAGAAAAACAACCACAGAGGCAGAGCGCATCTAAAATCTACCAGGTTTGTTCACTCCCTAATAGGCAGCATAGGGCAAGAAAGGGGCAGTGGTCTTAAAGTGTCGATGAAGTAGATCTAAGAGTCTCTACCAACTGTCTGTAAAGGTCACAATATCTCATTAGCAAATTCCTAGGAGTCAGTTACTAACCATGTTCCTTTTCTTCCTCATAACCTCTTCACCTCCCCATTTAACCCCACCCTTTGTAGAATGTGCCTACAGGTTCCCGCGCCCTCTGGTTTCTCATTGGTTTAGACCCACAAGAGGTAGGAACGGGAAGATGGATGAGGGTCACAGTGTAGTGAAGTGGCTGGCTATGGTCTCCTTGGTCCCCGGTCACTACACCATGCTCTGTCCTTTCCCTCAAAGCCAAAGCTGAAAGCAAAGCTCTTGTCAGAAAGCTTTTACTCCCGCCTCAGTTCCTAACCCTTGGGGAGACCAGAAGTGAGTGGGCCTCTTCTTGCCACTGACCCTACGATTTCCCCTAGACTCTGCCCATGCCTCCATCAGCAGCTTCCAGCTCTCCTCGTCAACCTCCTGGAGCAAACCATGCCATCTGTTTCTTGAGAGAGGCCAAGGGTTGCTTAAGGGCTCATCACTCCCCTGGTGTTGTCTCACCTTTTCCTGTTTTCATCTCTGTACTACAGAAGCCTACACGTAGCATTATATAACCTAGGAAGCCACGGTTCGCGTCTTCACTGAAATGCATGCCTACCTCTGCAAGGTTCTCTGTGTTTTACGGCCCACTCCCTATCACCAGAGGCACCCACTCATTGCTGCGCATATGCATACAATTCACTGGAGCAGAAGCCTCAAGGAGAATGAAGGCCTGCCTTCCCTGCTCATCAGCTAAGAGCTGAGACTTTACATACCAGCTGGCCCAAGAGACCTCCTCCCAGGGATGGCGTGGAGGCTGACAGCCACACAGTCACAGTGGGTGGAGCACTCAGTGGAGGAGAGAAAGAGAGAGCGCGTGTGCACGCTGAAGTCATTCTGGTCATTGCTTCTACTTCCCCATGGGAAACGAGGGCAGAATGCCACACGCACAGGATTTCGGGGGTGCTTTCTTTTTCCTGCTGTGATAACCATTACTGTATGTAGTCCAGCAATTTGGCTTCTCAGTAACAGACTCCTGGTAGGTGCCTGGGCTTGACCACTCTAGGTGATATTATGGCCATGATTACAGGATGACTGATTCGTCCGGCAAAGTGACCAGTAATTTGCAATCTAAGGGCCATTCAGTGGTGGTAATATTATGGATCTTACCCTGCAATTGCAAAACAACCAGCCCTCTCTAATGTAGCAGTTTTCCCATCAAAAGCTCAGCCTCTGCTTTTGATTTCTGCTAATCAGTCACCATGCCAGCTTTGGCTTTTGAGTTGGAAAAGCTAAACAAGGGCTCATGAATGATACACTCCTCTTTACAGTTCCAGAATGGGAGGTGTGGGAAGTTCTGTCAAGTGGAAGACGGGGGAACAAGTACAAGAAGCATCTGGAAGGCAATTTCATTTCTTAAAAGAGCAACAGAGGCTGGCCCCAAAGAACCGCAGAACTCAGCAATTCCCAGTGTTGCCTGGGAATCTGGGAAACCAAAAGAGCCAGGCATGACACGTACAAACAGGCTCTCTCTATATATGGGTGTATATACAGGTACAATTGGGTACATTGCACAGCCCATGTGCGCCCATGCACACGAACATATCCATGTACATGCCTGCATACATGCATGCACCGAGGGGAACAGTTCCTTTAACCACAGGGTTACTTGTTGACAGCCTCTAAGGTTAGGTTCTGAAGGTCTCTACTGAATGTTATCCACAAGTTATTCTAGAGAAAACAGATCAGGGCTATTGGCCCTGGGGTTAGAAGGTTTTTGTCTGCAAAGAAAACAGGTGACATTTGGGTCAGAATCCATGGGACATCTTCTGAGAACTATGTAACACAGCCAACAGGAACTACTGGGCACCCATAAGTTCAAATATATCACCAATGACCAGCTTGACCTTGAGTGGTCAATTTAAGGAAATCAGTTTTGTACAGAGCAGGACAAAGAACTCGTGCATCGCTAATGGCTAGATTTTTTCCGAATCTTAGATTTCACCATGTCCAATAGGAATGGTAATATCATCCTGCTTTATCCATCAGCAGGTATCTGTGAACCAAATGAACTTTTACCTGTCTGTTTTCGAAAAATAAAAGAGTGTTTACAGAGACCAGATATCACTGTGTGTTGGCCTGATGGAGGTTCAATGACATTCTGCCTAGCTAATCTACTGTCCTTTCCTGGGGTGGTGCTAATGGAGAATGCTCTGTTCTTAGTGGTTTGGAAAATATAACCTGTGTTGTAGGTGGCAGATGTCTTTGAGTCCAACAGTCTTTATACACTGCCTCTACAGTGCAACATTTCACTAACAAGGAAGGGAGGGAGGGATGCAGGGAAAGAGGGAGGCAGGCAGGGAAGGAAGAAGCAAAGAGTAGCTGTGAAAAAGTAATAGGACTCATTTCAGCCATTTTTTTGACCTTGACAATAATAGTGGCTCCTCTCCATGTGATGAGATCATGGTTTGTTTCTTTTCTTCTTCTTCTTCTTCTTCTTCTTCTTCTTCTTCTTCTTCTTCTTCTTCTTCTTCTTCTTCTTCTTCTTCTTCTTC